CCCTAAGAGGCCCTGCTTCTCAGTGTCCCAGTAATTGCTGCAAGCACCTCTGAGAGAAAGCCGCCCTCGAGTTCCGACCGATGCCAAACAGTCCAGTTTCTCCCCTTATGAGTCTCGGTCCCCAGAGACTCGCCCAGAACTGGAGTCAGGGCCGTTGGGAGCTTGAGAATCCCTCCCGATTGAAAAAGACAACCGCGTCCTCAGTTGCCAGCCCCTTCCCGCGCACGCTCTAGCCTCGTACCTCTGCACTTTACTTCCGCACCTCCTGAGTCTCAGTGTGCTTTTCTCTTTCCTTCTAGTTGTAGAATTTCCACTCAGCCAGCCTTCCTGTGGTTCTGGATGATGTCCGTTTTGTCTTTTAGTTGTATTTTTGAAGTGGTTGTGCAAGGCAGCAATTTCCGGTGTTTACCTATGCCGCCATCTTGGTTTCTCCAAGATGAAAATTTTTTTGTTTTCTGTTGACATTTTCTTTACACAACTGAATCACACCAAACAAGGGAAGAGCACCCAGTACTAATTCCAGTTAAATGAATATTCAAGAAAGCATCCCTTAGCAGTGGTTCTCAACCTTCCTAATGCCGCGACCCTTTAATACAGTTCCTCATGTTGTGGTGACCCCCAATTTCATTGTTACAAATTGAACATAATTAAAGCATAGTGATTAATCACAAAAAACAATATGTAATTATATATGTTTTTCCGATGGTCTTAGGCGACCCCTGTGAAAGGGTCATTCGACCCCCAAAGGGGTCTCGACCCCCAGGTTGAGAACCGCTGCCTTAGAGTCTGAATGTAAGTATGAAAGGATACTTAATACTTGATGGATAACACAGGGGCTGTCACAGTGCATCCCATTCTGGGGGGAAGAGGGGAGTCCAGACTTATCAAAAACTGTGACAAAAAGAAAAGTTTGAAGCTCAAATTATACCATGACTAACTCTACTCCCATTCATGACAAAGTATATTTTAAAAGTTAATGTTTAAGTAGAAACGTGTGACTTACCGGAAATAAAAATTCTACTTGTTTAATACACAACACGCTTTAAGCATGCACTTCACGTCCTCTCCCCCCTTCGCACAAGCTCGGTTTACTGAAATGTATCTACAAAGAACAATCTCATTAAGGCCAACAGGGGTCCACGACTGGCATCTGATGTTTTTTCCTTTTGAAACGGACAAGGCTCCTACAGAGAGTGACCACTGTCCCTGAGCAGCGGTAGGACGGGCAGCGAGGGGCGGGGCGGGTGCGGGCCTCGGGTGACCGGGTGGGAGTAACCCTGAGTCATCCCCACGCGGGGAGCTCGG